TTCAAAGAATAGTACAGAGAATCCCATATACCCTGTGCCTGATTCACCAATTGTTTACCTTTTGCTTATTTGTTTTTGCATTCATTCATTCCCTCTCTCTTCTCTTTCTCATTCGCTCTATCCTGCTCTTCTCTCTCTCTTTCCTTTTGCCTTCTTCCCGCCCATGTTTTCTTAAAGTCATTTGAAAATAAATGGGAGGCATTTGCCCCTTTATTCTTAAATATTTCAGGGTGTATTTAATAGCAAGGGCATTTTCTTTCTTAACTACAGTATGAGAATCAAAATCAGGAAATTTAATGTTGTAGAACACTGTAATGCAATTTGCAGGCTATAGTCAGATACTGTTGATTTTCTCAATTATGACCTTTATGGGCTACATATATGTGTCCTTGCTTTTGTGTGGGTGTACAGTTCATTCTGAGAATGACTGTTTTTCCTGGTCCAAGATCCAATATAAGATCGCAGTTGCATTTGGCTGCCATGTTTCTTGCCTTTATTTGAGACAATTCTCATGTTTATGTTTATTTTTATTTTTGCCTTTCATGACCTTGATACTCTAAGAATACAGAGAAATTAGGTTGCAGGATGTTTCTCAAATTTGAGTTTATTTGATTTTCCTCATGATTAGATCCCGGTTTAAGGTCACAGTGCTTTTCAATTTTAAGAGGAACTGGTATTTCATCATCATAGATTTTGAGTGGAAAGATGGGGGGAATATGATGCCCTGCAAATTCACTTGTGGAGTCAGGGGGGTTTTCAGACAGAAGAAGTATTCTGAAGGTGCTCATCTACAAGTGAATGACTATATTCTAGAAAGAATAGTTCTCTGGGGGATTTTACCTCACTGATAAGTGAGGCAAGAAGATAAAGTGAGGAGGAAGACACAGCCTCTCTATTTTCCTTGATAAGAAATCAAGGGTAGGTAAAATTTTTTCTTGTGTAACATGGAAATAAATTAAACATCTGCAGAATGGTCTCTTCTGCCTGGGAACCTCAAAGTTTCTTGGTGCCAAGAGACATAAATAGGCTTTCTACTCTTTTGTAGTAAATCAGCCACTGTCTCCATATAATACCCACACATCAGGCAGAAGATGAAGAATGTAGCCCAGCATCCACCATCTTTTTAATTCATTCCAAGAATGACCAGATATGTTCTAAAAAAGTTTTCTCAGTCTAGATATGGGCAATGTCTTTCATCCCCAAGAACACTGAGACTCCTTAAAAACAAATGACTTTTGAAGCAGACTGATAGAAAGGACTGTGTTATAGTTGGGAACAACAGAGGAATAAAATGATTGCATGTAAATGCTTTTTTTTTGATGCCATGCACAAAATTATTGATCTTTAATGTGCTGAAGTTTAGAAGCGACACAGTTTGGTTAAAATGTCCCCTCCAAAACTATATTGAAATTTAATTGTCATTGTGATGGTATTAAGAGGTAGGATCATAAGAAGTGGATTAGGTCACGAGGCTTCCACCCTCATGAATAGATTAATGTCATTATCTTGGGGGCTGTGTTCTTTATTGTGAAGAGTGGATTGTCATAAAAGTGAGTTCAGTCCTTTCTTGCTCTCTTGAGTACTCTTCCCCTTCCATCTTCTGCCATGGGGTAATGCAGCAAGGAGGCCCTCACCAGATGCTGGCACCTTTCATATTAGACTTCCCAGTTCTAGAGCTATGAGAAATATATTTTTTTCTTTATAAATTATCCAGTTTCAGGTATTCCGTTATAGCAGAAGAAAACAGACAAAGGCAAAAAATTGGTACAGAGAGTGGGGTTATTGCTATAACAAATACTTGAAAATGTGGAAGCAGCTTTGGAGCTGGGTAATGGGTAGAGGCTGAAACAGTTTTGAAGTAAATGACGAAAAAATCCTGTATTGCTGTGAATGGAGTGTTAAGGGTAGTTCTGGTGAGGGCCCAGAGGAGAGAAGAGAATAGCTGTAGGAAAAGTCTGAGACTTCTTGGAGATCACTTAAGAGGTTGTGATCAGAATGTTTTTAAAGATATGGATGGTAAAGGCTATTTTGATGAGGTCTCAAGCAGAAATGAGAAACACGGTATTGGAAACCAGAGTAAAGACAATCCTTGTTTTAACATGGTGATGAATTTGGCTGAATTGTGTCCATGCCCTAGGGTTTTTTAGAAGATGGAATTTAAGGACAATGATCTAAGGTATGTGGCAGGAGAGTGTTCAAGGTGCTCCATGGTTTCTTTTGGGTGCTCACAGTAAAATGAGTGAATAGAAAAAATATTTAAAGACAGAATTTATAATTAAAGGGGAAGCAGAAGAGAAAGCTTTGGAAGACTCTCTGCCTGGCCATGTAAAGAATAAAACAGCATATTTGGGAGAAAATACTAAGGGTGCAGTCAGGCACCCATTTGCTAAAGAGATTAATACAGCTAGAATGAAGCCAGGTGCAGTTTAAGACAATGAGGGAATTACCCTGACAATATTCCACAGACCTTTCAGGCAAGCTAGGACCTTGAGGGCAAGATTTCCAAAGCGGTACCTGTGGGACCTCAGCATTTACTGCCCTATGCAGTCTTGGAATTCTGTTCCCCAAATTCCAGTGCAGCATCCCTCAAGCAGGCCCAGGTGCAGCTAGTGCCAGAGCTTCAGAGGGCACAAGTGGTATGTCTTGGTGGCACCCACATGGTGCTGATCCTGTGGAAGTACAGAATGTGTGAGCCTTGGAGCCATGGCCACCTCTACATAGATTTCCAAGGATGTATCAGACAGTCTGGAGGTCCCGGCAGAAACTCATTACAAGGGAGGAGCCACCACAGAGAGCAGTACTAGGGAGCACTGTTAAAGTGGGGCTATGAGAGTGAGACTACCTCAGAGACTCCTGAAATATAGAACTGCCAGCGTACCACTCCAGCCTCAGAGCTGTGGGCACAAGACACCAACCCAAGACAGCTGCTGAGTGGATGGGGTCTAGCCAAGCCATGGGGGCAGGGCTACCCAAGGCATTGGTAACCTAATTTCTGCTGTAGTATGTCCAGGATGCAGGACATATAGAGCCAGAGGACGTTATTCTCCAGCTTGAAGACTTAATGTTGTTTTCCCTGTTGGGTTTTGGACATACTGGGAACCAGTTACTTCTTTCATTTTCCTATTTCTCCCTTTTGGAATGGGAATGTCTGTTTTATGCCTGTTTCATCATTTTGTTTTGGAAGTAGATAATTTGTTTTAATTATATAGGCTCACAACTGGAGGACATTTGAGGTGGGATGAATCGTACCTTGAGTCTCATATGTGATTTAGATGGAACTCTGGACTTTGGTCTTTTGAATTGATGCTTTTGGGCTATTTAGGTGGAATGAATATATTTTATATGCGAGAAAAACATGAGTTTTGGGAGGCCAGAGGTGGAATGTTAAGGCTTTGAATGTGTCTTCCAAAACTCGTGTTGAAATTTAATTGCCTTTTTGATATTGGACTTCCCAGCCTCCAGAACTGTGAGAAATAAATTTCTTTCTAAATTACCCAATTTCTGTTCTGTTATAGCAGCAGAAAACAGACAAAGACATGACAAGAAAGAGTTAATTCTTTCAAGCAAATGCCTAAGGTACACTCTGGGAAAATACAACTGAATGAGTTATGGCTCAGCCTAAAATTAAACTCCTGGCTCCTTGTCTGGCATATGAACTTTTAGATCACATTACTTTCCACTGATGGATCTATTTTTTTAATGAATTGAAAAAAGAATACCCAGTGGTTCCTTTTGTGTGAAGAAAACAAGATAAATATTAGCCAGGAAAGGTCATTTTGGTTTCCAATATGTGGGAAGTTCATTATGATGGGTTCTGATAAATTGTATTGTGTAGTTCTTTCTGATCGCAGAAGGTCACATCGTGCCCTTGGGTGGACATAAGAACACACATACTTAATAAAGTTGGAGGATCTGAGAGATGAACATTTTCAAGTTTTTTTTTTTTTTTTCTGAGCAACTCATACTTATACAGTTATTTAAAGCCGTTTCCCTCTTGTTGAACTAATTACTCAAGGCTCATACTCTCTTATATGAAGCCCAAAGTGGTGAGTCTTCAAATTTATCACCAAAAGTGTTCTCCAATCAAACTTGTGGAATTATCTTCTGGTTATCTAAGAGAAAAGTCTCAGTTGTGCTTGGTGGTGGATTCTTAATTGGTTCTACAGGATTCTAAAGTAATTAGACTGCATTTCAAAAATCATTTTTATGTTATATTTGCAACTTGAATATTTATTAATGCATATCATTATTTTTCTCTGATCTCCACCACAGGGAGAGATGTATTTAACTTAGCATCTTTACAAATGGTGTAGTTTCATGTTCTGCTTTTTCCTCAAGATTTCTTGGCCTTAGGACCATCTGAGTCCTTTTACAAATGTGTTCACTAAGTAGAATTTTTTCTTTTTTAGGTTTGTGCATCAAGGGAGTGTCTATTGCAGTATTCACAAGTGTTCTTTATATTTTGGTATGGTGGATTATATTGGAAAATACTTTTTCCCTTGGTGTCCTATTAATATTTTTTCGAAAAGCAACCTTGTAGGTTGTCTGTCATCATCTTCAGGCTTATGTCACACAAACCTAAGAATTCAGAGCTTTATGCTGGCTTTTCCGCTGCTCTATGGGCTTGGGCAAATTACGTGTCTTGGGAATGTGTTATCTCCAACTTCCAGTTTTGTCCGATGATCAACGAAATGGGAGAGTGAACTTGATGCATTTCAAATGATTTGGGGCCTTCTGTTACATTTTGAATACCCTTCCCATTGCAGGAAGTTCTTTAAAACTATATTGTGTTAACTAATATGTGGCTAGTTAATGACTGTAGAATTTTCTTTCTTTTCCTCCCTAGTATTAGGACACCTCACAACTATGCATATGTTTGACTGTCTGCCATTTGCCTGAAACTGCAGGTGTCATGTTAAAGACCATTATTTTGCTACTGGAAATTAGTTTCATTTTAACATTAAAATGCTAATTGATTTCATTTGGCTTTTTTAACATAGGTCTTCTGAGCTATGATAATTTTTTTGGAGCGGCAGAAATGATTGGTCCTAGCTACAGATGGGAATTTGGAGTCACTCTGAAATACATCCTGGAATAATTAATTGTGTTTGACTGGAACCAAATCTTAGGAAGTCTCCAAGGTAAGATTATTTTAATGTTCACCTAGAGATAATATCTTTACAGAGTATTGAGAATTTTAGCAAAACTGAGTATCCTGGAGTTGATGATTTTTTTTTTTTTTTTAGAAGGCTGCTTTTACATAGAATTTTTAGGATTTTGGGGAAACGTTGATCTTTTCATTTTAGCTTTCACTTGCAAAAGAAATCATTTCAGTTTACAAAACAGTACTTTGGTTTATTCAGTAGAGGAAAAGATGAGGAAATAGAAATCTATTGCTGAATAGCTTTCTGGCCCCACCCCTGCCACCCTGCCTGGCACTTCTCTAGGGGAATGGTTGTTGAGCTATTGTTAAGAGAATACTTGTTTTAGGGACTGGGAACTTGTTGCTACTCACCCAGCAACTTGTTATGTAGAATTATCCATTTAAGAAGAAGATGGATTAGGGATCATTGCCCAGGATTTGGAATGTCTGCTCTTGAGACTTTTGATTTCAGTGGTTTGTTGTTGGACTCCAACCAGGAAAACAGAAAGCATTCTGCCGGCTTTTTCACTGCTCCGTGAGGTTGGGTAAATTGCATGTCTTGGGAATGCATCATCTCCAACTTCTGTTTTTGTCCAATGGAAAGTGAATTTTGGAGACAGGTTATACATATGATGGGAGATTCAGGGAATCTGAGCAGAAGACATGCAGGAAGCCACCGCATGCCCCGGCTGGAGGTCATGAAGTAGTCCATGGGGAAGCAGTGCTAGAGGAAGGGAACTGGACTGGACGCTGCAACCATAGCGGGCCCTTCTGTCAGGCACTGGAGCCATGGGGGAGAAATGGCCAATCCACAGATCCTGCCAAAGACAGAGAAGGAAGGGAGAGATGTCCTTGCCTGTCCCTTTTCGCATTCTCCGGGCTCCAGCTGTTGCCTTTCCTTGACTGAACCCAGCCAGTCACCAGCTAACCTGTGAGCCTAGAAAATGCAGCCTAGAGGACCCTCCAGCCTTCAGTACAGGGGAAAGGGGAAGAATGGATCTGAAGGCATGACAGGCCCAGGCTGTCACATAATTCATATATTTAAAATAAATTTTTGTTTCGTTTTCATTTTATAATATCACTTTCATTTCTGAAAAACATTCCATCTCATGGCTGTGTCATATTTTGTTTGACCAGTCTCATACTGTTAAACACTTGGATCATTTTCCTTTTCTTTCCCTCCCTCCCTCTGTTCCTCTGTCCCTCCATCCCTGCCTCCCTGCCTTCTTTTTTTGAGGCAGGGTCTCACTCTTTGCTCAGGCTGGAGTGTGATGGTACAGTCATAGCCCATTCCTGCCTTGAATTCCTGGCCTCAAGCAATACTTCCACCTCAGTCTCCCGCTGTGCTGGGATTACAGTCATGAGCCTCCATGCATGGCCAGATCATTTTCAGTAGTATAAACAATAAAAAGGTCCCATACATTGCTCGTTATTTCTTCAGGATTAAATCCTCTAAGTGATCTGCTAGGTTAAAGGATATGAACAGTGTGAACATTTGACACACATGATCAAATTATCAGTTTGTGATTTTGCCAAGTTAAACCTTTTCTCTTTGTATTAGAGATATTTCATTCAGTTATTGCCAACAGTGGGACATTATTTTAAATATTTGAATTGCTTTCCTTTGAGTGTGGATGGAATTGTGGTTATGATGAGATTCACATCTTTGATTAAATTACACCTGTAAGGGAGAGATGAAGGGATTTCACCAGTGTTTTTAAGGTCCCACATACACTGACTTTCAGTTAGTCAAAAGAAAGATTATCCTGGGTGGGACTGACCTAATCAGGTAAGCCCTAAAAAGGGACTGAGCCTTTCCTGGAAAAAGAGATTCAAACCAGGAAGGAACATGTGCAGGGGGCATGTGGCAAAGATGTGGCAAAGCCTGGAGAACAGTTCCTGGCCGATAGCAAGAAAACAGGGACCTCAGTCAGAGAGTCCCTAGAAAATGGCTTGTGCCGACAACCCGAGAGTACTTGGAAGCGATCCTTACCCAGTTGAGCCTCAAGATGAGGACACTCCCAGCTGACACCTTGATTTTAGCCTGTGAGTTTCTGAGCAGAGGCCCCAGCCAGAACATGCCAAACTCCTGACTTACAGAAACTATGAGATAATATATTGGTGTTTCAAACTTCTCCCATCCAAGCACTAACTAGACCTGACCCTTCTTAGCTTCTGAGATCAGATGAGATTGGGTGGATTGAGGGTCGGATGGGTATAGATTGTTGCTTTAAACTTCTAAGTTTGGTAATTTGCATCAGACATTCCTAGCATTCCAAAGTTACACAGAAACATGGAGCCTCTCTGCTTTTAAGGACCTTTAGTTTCTTAAAGCATGCCTTCCGTCTCCCCTACCTCCATGTACACACGTGAAGGGGACAGAAATTCTAGAAGCAGCTTGAAAGGTGGCAAAGAAAATAATATGTGGACCTTCCATGAGTTCGAGTTGCTATTATCAGTCATATAATTTAAGGGAAGCCCAGAGGCTCAAATTCCCATATTTGATGATTTTTAAAAATGCAACACCCTTTCTCACATATAATGTTTTAAAATTCCAGTTGTTACCCCAGTGTCAGCTATTGATCTAGTTGTTACAAAGGCTTATTTCTCTTACCCAAGGATCAGAAGTTCACATGGCCACATGTGAATGAGTCAGACTGGCTGGGCCTAAGGTAGTGGCTTGAGGGAGGGACTGTGGAGACCCCTCTAGGGGCAGGTGCGACCACCCCAGCCTGTTACTCCCATGTGGAAATGTGAGCCCAGGGATGCCAGGAATAATTTTTCAAGAGAATTTGGATTCTGATGTGCAAACTGGACATTTTATGTGTTGGCAACCAATTCAATTTATTTAAAAAAAAAAAGCACAGATCAAAACACATTTACAATCTGGATCAGGTACCCTGATTTCCAATTTGTCATCATTAGCGGCCCCAAAAGGGAAAATTTCAAGGCATCACATAAATGAAGGATTAATTTTATATCGCTGCATCGCAAATTACCCAACATAGCAGTTTAAAACCATTTTGAAACAGTTTAAAAGGGCAAAAAGAAGCCAATGCTTTGTGTTACTTTTAACATCAAATTCTTCAAAGATGATTGGCTTGGCTGCTTAAAAGGAGACTGAATCTCAAATCAGTAAGCAATACACCCTTTATGAAGGTCTATTTGACTGAATTGTGAGAAGTCTCGGGAGGGAAGGCTGGTAGCAGAACCTGTGTGTGCCTGGGAGTGTGGTGTGGGCATGGGGTTCCTCTGAGGCTTTGATGTGTTTTCCCTGGAGCAGGGAACCAGGACTTTGGTAGGAGCACTGCTACGTTGCTGGCAGCTAGAGATGCTTCTTTAGAGGACTTTCTTAGGAGCCTTGCCTATAATATGACTCAAGCAAGAGGTCAAACTCAAGTGCCCAAGGCCAAGAATCCAAACCCATGTTTTTATTGTGGGCCCATAACTGTGTATACATTTGCATACATTAAAAGGTGGTTTCTTTGACCCATTGTGGTAATAATGGATGCCATGAGGCATGTGTGAGGCAGAACCTAGTCTCACTAGAATTTCAGGTGCCAAATGCGGTGCCTTTTGCTTGAAACATTAATTTTAAAAAAAGCAAACCCCAAAAGTTCATCAAGTTCTATTTACTTAATTCCCTTATGATGTTAGAAAAGAAGGGCAGAAAATTAGGCAGTTGGGAAGAATGATTTTGTATTTGCTCTTTTATTTTAGAATAGACCAGGCGTCCCCAAACTACGGCCCGCCCCCTGAGGCCATTTATCCGGCCCCTGCCGCACTTCAGGAAGGGGCACCTCTTTCATTGGTGGTCAGTGAGAGGAGCACAGTATGTGGCGGCCCTCCAACGGTCTGAGGGACAGTGAACTGGCCCCCTGTGTAAAAAGTTTGGGGACGTCTGGAATAGACCATGCAACTATAATGTGAGCTGAATTGTCTGAGCAACTGTTTTGATACTGTCCATCATAGGAAGTTAAATTTATTTTATATTCACCTCGATTTGCCCATACGCCTCTCCAAATCTTGAGAATGGTTTAGTCAACTGTGAATCTAGTCTTCCAGACCAGAAATCCTTTGTATACAGTCAGAGAAACCAGGAGAAAGTTCCTGGACTACACATGTAAAATCTCTGTGGATTCTTTCAGATCTAGAAACCACATTTTTTTTTTTTTTTTTTTTTTTTTTGACGGAGTTTCGCTCTTGTTACCCAGGCTGGAGTGCAATGGCGCGATCTCGGCTCACCGCAACCTCCGCCTCCTGGGTTCAGGCAATTCTCCTGCCTCAGCCTCCTGAGTAGCTGGGATTACAGGCACGCGCCACCATGCCCAGCTAATTTTTTGTATTTTTAGTAGAGCTGGGGTTTCACCATATTGACCAGGATGGTCTCGATCTCTTGACCTCGTGATCCACCCGCCTCGGCCTCCCAAAGTGCTGGGATTACAGGCATGAGCCACCGCGCCCGGCTCACATATATTTTATTTGCATCTAGCTCTAAGTGTGTTGCCTTTACATCTCATGGTATAAAATAGAATAAAATCCCCATGCTCTATTAGGGCAACTCAAGCACAACTTGGGGATTGATAAATGAGCTTCTCACTGATTCATAGTGCTAACTTGGAAAACTCTTCATTATCAAAGGTGTTTATTGAAAATTTAGTGAATGCTCAGTGCAAATAAGGTTTGATTAGTCTTCTGTTTTCTTGGAATAAAGGAAGTCCAGCTCCAGGGATCTGCCCCTGCTCTCTCCCACCTTCCTAGGATGGTGCTTGCCAGGGAGCCTGGCCTTTCTCAGCCCTCACTGACTCCAGCCCTGCTTTTCCTCCAGATGGGAGTCTGTGCTAAGTCAGTGTTGCTGTCGCACTGGCTCTTCCTAGCCTACGCGTTAATGGTGTGCTGTAAGCTGATGTCCGCCTCAAGCCAGCACCTCCGGGGACATACAGGTAAGTCCTTTAAGCTCATTATGCACTGCCAAGGTCAATTAATAAAACCCCTTCAAATGTCAGAGTCCACATTTTGGACATAGGTAACTGATGAGAGCTTCTGATGGTGTGTAAATAACTAGAGGAAGCATGAAGCATGGTGGTGTAACACAGTTTAATGGTTTAGTGCTTAAAGAGTTTTTAAAAAATGTTTTTCTGGCTTTTAAAAACTTTTGTTTTCTTGGATGCACTTTTATTTTTATAGCACTTTTTCTCAAGGAATCCCAGAAAACCAGCAGCAATTTGTGTGGTTGGCCTGTGTGTGTGTGTGTGTGTGTGTGTGTATGTCAGTCCATCTGTCTGTCGACCATCCATCCACACACTCCTATAGCTTCCTCAGAAGTAGGACACCTTTATGATAAACTTCAATTAACACTTACAGGGCCTTAGTGAAGGGAACAGTCATATAATTTAAGACCTTTTTTAGATATGTGGAGAAAATAGGCTATGTGATCTTTTAAAAAAGAAGACTGAAAGAAAAAGCTGTGGTAACTTTCATAAGGGACTTAAAATGGGGGTTGCTAAAATATTTAGAGGCAGTTGTTCTGATAACTTCTAGTGAAACTCTTATCTGTGCATTGCTGATTTTTAAAGGTGAGATCAAAATCATCAGCTGCAGATCGGTTTGTTTTTTTGTGTTTCTGTCCTTTCTTTTCTGCGTCAACATTTAAAGTGACACAGTGAAAACTCCCCAGTGAGTTGTGTTTTCCTGAATAATTCATATTTGTCAATGGACTTCTTGTCAATTAATTTACTCTCTCGGCTGTGGTAATCTGAGGCACGGCAGTGCCGGGAATGTTTTGACTTCTTTGAGGAAGAGTGATGCCTGAACCCTAAATCACGTATGGGTCAGAATTATAAATTCTTTCTCCAAAGGTCTTTGCATGGGAAGTTCATGAAATATTCTTACCATTAATATATAACATGTCATACTTTCCACTTTGTTATTCTGATATTTTAAGGTTAGTCATAATTTTAGGCTCAAGATAATTTTCAAAATTTAATACAACTCAGTTTTCCCTCCTCCAGTGACAGTTCCAAGAAGATGAGAGAAATAATGATTGAAATTTTAGCAAATCAGCATAAAATCAATACTGTCTGGCTGCTGTGAAGTACCCACAGCTAGTTGGTTATTGCGCTGTGTCTCTTTTTATGACTTTGTTCATGAGGGTAGTGTTTGAGGTCCTCAATCTTATCTGTTTAATATAGATAAGATTACTCCACTGTTTTCCTGAGTGGAGTTTAAGAGGCAGACTAGTTGACAGGCAAAGCATTTCAGTGAGATTACCACCTACTCCCATTCATGCTGTAAATTTTCTCTAATACTCTTGCAATGTCCATGTGGCATTTTAATCCAAATTTAGTGCTCAGCTGATGGAGAACTCAGGATCACTGGAAATAACTGGGGCAGTGCACTGAGATCCTGAGAAACTCTGGTTAGATTTTCACTCTACTACGGGTGTATTACAGTGGGAGCAAGTTGCAGAGAGTTCACTGCAGAAAGCTGTGTGTGAGTGTCCAGAAAGGCTCCTGACATGATCCCATGGGCTTTGTGGTTCTGGCCAATTAAAGAAATGGTGGCACTAGGAACCCTTCGTTAGAAGTTTGATGCTTTTTATGGCTTGGATTAGAAGAGTGGCTTGTTGATTGTTATGTGTAAATAAGGAGATATTTTACAACCGTATCTCTACCTACCTGCCTAAGAGACATAGAAGAAGGTGGGAGTCTCCCCCCAGTTTTGGGAGATGGAGTGTTATGGTAGGTGTGTATCAAAGATTTAATTTTAGTTTAAGCATTAAAAAAGAAAACCTAAATGAAAACCCACCTAATTTTCACAGGATGGGTGATGAGACTCTTTCTTGAAGACAAATGGCACCAAAACATTTCCAGAGTCCAGAGATGATATTTTTAAGCAACTATAAGACACGAAAGACCGCTTTTGTTCTTTTTAGTCTACTTGCCATAATAATTGAGCAGCAGATCACATATACATATAGGACTTGTGTAGCTTCAAGCTGTAGAAAAGGTGAAGGGCCAATTGGCAGATCCTTTTCCTTTAAAAGGAAGCCAGGGCTGACTCTATTATTTCTTCAGTTAGCAAGCTGTCCTTTTGTTCTTTTTTTTTTTTTGGCTGTAAGCAGAGCATCATTTCCCCACAAGAGGGCAGCAAACATGGCAAAGTGGAAAGATGCCTTCTGGAAGGAAGTTTCAGAAACTTGACTCCAGGGGAATTAATCATTGAGGGATCTTCCTGGAAGTTTAATCCGGTGTAGACACAAGTGGTTGTGACACAGAGCATCTTACAATTTTAAGATTTATTACTGGGAATATCTGGGCACTTCAAAAATACGGATTTGGTCCTTTAAAGCTGGAATCGTAGCTAGTTTTCTGACCGAGCCGAGAGAGTTGGAAACTTGGGTGCTATTAATTTATACATTCACTTCAATAGTTCCATTTCCCCAGAGAACTTTGAATATAACCTGGACTGCACTGTTTCAATTCCCCAAATGTTGTGGTGCTTGGTGACTATTTAATAGAGTCTGTTGGCATAAAGTCCCTGGAAAAACTGGGGCATGCCTGGAAATGAGGCAACAAAGGAAATCAAATGTTGGGGGTGAGGGTGGGGTCCAAAGTCAAACATAATTCTGGTTCTGATACATCTTGGCTGTGTGGCCTCATCCAGGCCACTTAACCTCTTTGAACTTGTTTCATCATCTGTAAAAATTATATGATATACATGCCTACTTTAATTGGAGTTATTGGGATAACTAAGGAAAAGTAGGTGAAGAGATTAGCACATAGTGAACATTCCATAAATGGCAGCAGTTTTCACATTTGGAGGCACCTAGAATGAGTCTGGAAAGGTTCACATTCCAGGAACGGCTGAAGACTGTGAGCATGAGTAAGTAGATGTGGTCAGAGACTTCAGGGTTTGAAGCTTTCTCAGGTATAAGAGAAAAAGACTTGTTTTTCATTGTTCTAGAAAGCTGACTATAGTGAAGAAAGTCACTTTAGGAGGACTGAGGTTTCAGCTCAATCTTAAGAAGGAGGGAAAGGCTTCAACAAGCTGGAGAACAGAGTGACCTAGAAAGGGTGTTGAGAGCTCTTTTATTTGCTGGCCTTGAGCTAAATCTGCTATAGAGAGGATGTCTCACTGATTGGGAAGTAGTTAGATGTCAAGAATGGTGAAGGGTCTGAGCTTTTACCCTCCTCGCAAGCTGATAGGTTAGCTGGTCGTAGTTTCACAGATGCTGGGCAGAAAGCATGAGATACTTAGGTCAGAGACAAAATATTTTATTTTATTTTGGTACTTATGTTTTGAAATGGAGTCTCACTTTGTTGCCCGGGCTGGAGTGCAGTGGTGCAATCTTGGCTCACTGCAACCTCTGCCTCCCAGGTTCAAGTGATTCTCCTGCCTCAGCCTCCTGAGTAGCTGGGATTATAGGCATCTGCCACAACGCCAAGTTAATTTTTGTATTTTTAGAAGAGATAGGGTTTCACCATGTTGTCCAGGCTGGTCTCGAACTTCTGACCTCAAGTGATCCGCCCACCTCGGCCTCCCAAAGTGATTGCAGGTGTGTGGCACCACACCCGGCCCGAGACAAAAGATTTTATTACTCATGGCACAGGAAGCAGCAGGTTTGCTTCAGTCCTTCTTTCATTCTTGGGCAAGTTATGAAACCTCTTTGGGACTCAGCCTTTTTCTGTGCAAAATGAGAATAATAAAAATAATAAAAAATAATCCTCAGAGTTACAGTAAGGAATCAATTAATGTCTGGGAAATGCTGAGAACTCCATCTGCCTAGTGAGTGCTCAAATGCTAGCCATCTTTAGACCTGCCACCTTCTTTTGAATGTTTTTAAAAATTTTGTAGAGGTTCTGTACTGTTCAAATTTATGGAAATTTAGGTTTTCTGTTGTTTTTTTTTTTCTGTTTTAAATGCAAAACGTGTGTTGTGATTGTGTATTTTGGTGGCTTATGTTATTTTTAACTTAGGGTACATTCTTTGAAGAGCAGTTGTTGCATCCAAGTTTGGGCTCATGTCTTCTTCCTCTCTAATGGCTGAAATTTAACAGGAACCCTGCAAATACTCTTGGCTGCATGGACTGTATTATCTCTAATTTTCTCCAAGAAACCTGGTACTTTCAAAAATACTAATTGAGTGGGGCATATAACATCTACTACAAGAGTCTCTCTGAGGTTTAAATCTGTGAAAATGATAAAATTGTATGTGCAAGCTGCTACTTGTACTTTGCCGGCAGAAATGAATTGTACCTACACAGATGAGTTTGAAAAATAATTTTCTTGCATTGCCTAAGTTCTGACACTAGGGGGTAGGCAAGGCTTATCATAGAGCCACACATGTAATTTTGCATGTTCTACAGCTGCTCTGAAAAAAGTGAAAGGAAACAGGAAAATAATTTTACTAACACATTTTATTTAACCAAATGTATTCAAAATATTATCATTTTTAACATGTGGCCCTAGCCACATTTCAAGTGCCCAGTAGCCACTAGCGCCTACTGTGTCATGAACTAATAATGAGTTAGGTCTTAATGTTGCTTTTTTAAAGATTAGAATTATGAGTCATTTTAATTTTCATGGGTCAGTCATAGAGCACAGTATTTAACTCTCTTTGTTTTACTTATTTTATGTCTTATTTAGTTACTTAGGTTTTTTTTTTTTTTTTTTTTAAACCAATGACTACTAAATTTAGAAAAAGTACCAGGTAAGTGGAGTTTGAAACCTCAAGTCATAAAGAATGGGGAAGACAGTTCTGTTTCCTGATGAATTGCTTATGTTCTTATTCTCTGCAAGAGCATATATTTAGGGAGAGGGAAGGGGCAAAAATAATTTGACAGTGTGTGTATGTGTATGTGCATGTGTGTATGTGTGTGTTTATGCATGTGATACCAACCATTAAGTCTTAAAATTACCCACTAGCAAACTTATTTTGATCA